TGAGGGGAACTACGATTACTCTGATTCCACTCCCGTAAGGATACGTAGGCACAAGATGCGATGTCTTGCCGAGTAAACTTAGAATTAACCCCCTTTATTATTTATTATTGCTTATTTATATTTTATTTATCTTTGCTATTTAATTATTTTGCTTATTATTTTGTAATTGTTTCTTGGATGTAAAGTTGTTTAATTATTTAATTATTATTATGGTTAGTAATTAGGGAGTGTAACAACCTGTATGTAATATTAAAATAAATTTAGATCACTTTTAAATAAAGATAATTAAAATAAACACGTCACACACGTAAGTCGATTTTAATCGCCGTCTCACTTCCTAAGGATATCCCTCAAGTTGCCTACGAATAATGGTTAAGTGGGGTGTATAAAGCAAGTCCCTCAAATAGAAAAATCATCAAAGTCCCTTATGGTTGCCTTTACGAATCGAGTCCCTTTCGAAAAATGATGATGGTCCCTTATATGTGCTTATTACATCCCACAATGGCCTTCAAAGTCAAATTGTCCCTCACATGTCCCTTAACATCCAAAGTAAGGACTACCTACTCCATTATAGTAGGGATAGTCTTACTAAAGGAAAGAATAAAGAATAAGAAAGACCTTTAAACATTAGGGTAGGTTACTCCTAGGTGCTTGCTCACTTCAAAACTGTTTCACACTTAAACAAATTTTCAACAAGTTTTCAAACAAGTTCTTAACACATCCTTACATGGATTATTTATTAACTATTCTGAAAATTTTCTATTCACACACTACAATTTCAAAACAATTCAAAAGTGAGCTTAAGTACCTAAGAGCCCATGGATAACCATGGATGAAAAGGATGCTAATACCTTCCCTTTTCATAACCTACCCCCCGGACCCAAAATATTCTCTAAGGTCTTTCCTGTTCTTTTATAACCTTTCCTTATGGATAAAATAAAAGTCGGTGGCGACTCTTGCTATCCGCAACATTGTTTAAAGTCAGTTCACCGGGTTACAACCGTCCAATGTACAAAAATGCTAAAGTTGCTTCTAGTTTTGACATCATTCAAAACATGACTAAATGGAAAGACGCACTCACAAATTTAGCTACTCATAATTCAAATTACAATACCAAAATCAATTAAGAATGTTTGCATATGAATCCTTGAAGGAGCCTCCAATGGCTTACAATGCTCTCAAAAATCACTTCTGGTGCTGTAAACTCGTACTCCTTTTGTAGAAATTTACCACCATTGCAAAAGTGCCAAATCCCCTTTAAAAAGCCTTCTGAATGGATCAGAAAGCGTCAAAAAAGCCTAGAAGAAAGGACCAACATGCGCGCGATGCAACTTTTACTCCTCTATCTCGCGTGCGATGCTGCACGTGGTTATTCCACTAGCTGTACACTTTTGCTCCCCATTTTCACCTAAGTCATTTGAAGGTGTTTGCATCTATGACACATAAACATGTACCATATCAGTTGAGAAGAAAACTTAATGACAAGTCGAGTCAAATGATCTTGATAGGATATCATTCGATTGGAGGATACAAATTGTTCGATCTAATGAACAAGAAAGTTGTGATCAACAGGGATATGATCATAGATGAGCTTAAGGAATTTGATTAGACTGAGAATGTTAAAAAGGATTCAGTGAGAATCTTATATGAAGAACTAACTAGTGAATTCGAAAGAGAAGTTCGACAAGAAGAAGTCAGAGGTGAAACTGGCCCAAGAAGACCGCAACGAACAAGACACATGTCTGAAAGGTTGCAAGAATGTGTGATTACATCATATGATATGGTCAATGAAGAAGGTGAGTTGGTACACTATGACTTCTATGAAGATGTCAAACCAGTCAATACAACTGAGGCATTCAAAGATTCGAAGTGGATTAAAGTAATGAATGAGGCACTGAAGCCCATCGAAGTCAACAATACTTGGTCACTTGTCAAATTGCCTCAAGGCAAGAAGGCAATCGATGTGAAGTAGGTATACAAGGTAAAGCTGAATCTCAGAGGAGAAGTAACTCGACACAAGACAAGACTTGCGAAATGATTTCTTTAGAAAGAAGAAATCGAATTTGATGGAGTTTTTGCACTTGTTGTTAGGATCAAAACGATTAGATGGATGTGAAATGTACATTCTTGAATGGCCCCTTAGAGGAAGAAGTTTATGTTGCACGAACAATTGGGTTTGTGAAACAAGGTAAAGAAAGAAAGGTGTACAGACTGCATAAAGTCTTGTATGGACTTAAGCAAGCTTCAAGAGCATGGAATAAGAAGATAGATTGCTTCTTAAGGGATAAGGAATTAGTGCACAACTGAGCATGGAATATACGTAAGGATAAACAATAATGAATTGCTTATACCATGTCTCTATGTCGATGAACTGTTGATAACAGGAATTTGCAAGAAGAAGATCAAAGATTTCAAACACGACCTAAGTGAGGAGTTGGAAATGTTAGACTTGGAATCTCTCATACTTCTTTGGCATCAAATTCTACAAGAGCAGTAGGTTTAATGATGCATCAAAAGAGATATACATAAGAAATACTCAAGAGATTTAAGATGCAAGATTGCAACCCAACTTCAACTCCAGTTGAGCCCATAATGCAACTATCGTAAGAATCAGATGAAGATGATGTCAACCCAACTCAGTACAAAATACTTATAGGGTCATTAAGATACCTTTGTCACACAAGTCCTGATCTAGCATACACTGTAGGTATGGTAAGTAGATTCATGTAAAAGTCAAAGGTATCGCACCTAACATCGACGAAGAGGATACTAAGGTATCTGAAAGGAACTCTCGACTATGGAATTTTGTTTCCTGAGATTGATGAAGGAAAAGAATGCAAAATAGTGGGTTACACCGACTCATGTTGGTGTAGTAATGTTGAGGATCAAAAATCCACAGCTGGATATGTGTTTATGCTAGGTGGTGCACCAGTTGCTTGGAGTTCAAGAATGAAGCCAGTAGTGGCATTGTTGTCATGCGAAGCAGAATACATATTTACTTTTCTCTGTGCATACCAAGCAACATGGATGGTGAATCTAGTTAAGGAGATTACAAGAAAGAGTCATGAAGCAATTACCATGAAGATCGATAACATGTTAACTATAAATCGGTGAAGAATCTGATAGCACTTGGACAAAGCAAGCACATCGAAATGAGGTTCCACTATCTTCGTGAGCAAGTCACAGAAGGGAAGATGAACTTGGAACACTGTAGAACTGAGAATCATAATGCAGATATCATGACGAAAGAAGTGCAGGTCAAAGTGTTCAGAAGACTAAGAGTTATGATGAATATAGATAACTTAGACATAATAAATTAGGTGGTATGTTGAGATTGTAATTCCTTGTGTCGAAGCAGGTAGTGCTCGATAGAAACAATAATGTGTCAAAACTTGTAGTATGTGTCGAGTAGTGTTAGATGTCAAAGTGTCGAAACAGGTTGCTTGGTACAAGATATCGACTTAGATCAAAATAGAATTTTTGGGCTTTAGCTTCTAGAGTAAGTTAACTCAATTATAAATAGAGAGAGTAAACCTATTTTGAGTAAGAAGTATAATAGTCTTGTAATCACTTGCAGTTACAAAATTAACAAGTTTTCACAGGTTGTGGATAGAGAGAAACTCTACAAAAATCATCTTCTTCTTCCCTAATTTTCGTAAAACCCTAATCTTTCTTCTCATTCAATTTTTCTTTCTTCTTCCATTAACAATTTCTGCTCAGAATCATTCTTGCAATCAAGGTGTGATTGATTCACTCGAGTGAAGAGTGAAGAACAAGAGATTTTGATCAGTTGATTGAATCTTGTTCATCAAGATTGATTCGGAACTCTCAAAATTTTGGGTTAATTCCAACACTTGTGGGATGAAAATGATGCTTTGAGAGTTGAAGAGTTGGTAATTAAGAAAGAGAATCATGCTACTGTTGTAGAAACTGTTGGTTCAAGCAAGTCTTCATTATTGGTTTCTTTGTTGGGAGAAATGTTCAAGATCTTCTGAAAGGTACACATGCTTGCTTTTGACTCTTCTAGTTTCTTTATTTCTTTTTGCACTTCAAGTTATTTGCTTCTTCTTTTATATGTAATATTTTTGTTATAAGAATTCATGATTGTGCTTTTCGAATTAATGCAAACTATACTATTGATATGTGAATGTTCTCATTATTACTTATAAAATCTTACAGATAATGCAAAGTATGCTATTGATTTTTTTATGCTTTGTTCTGTACGCTTTGAAACAAAGTGTTATTCATTGTTTTCACTTGAAATTTTACCGATTCAACTCCTACAATTAAATCTTAATATGATAGTCAGCAATAGTAGTGTTACTAGAAAAGAATTAAAGTTCCTCGTGTGCACCGTGCTCACAACTTCCACTTTCCTCCATAATATGCAACAATGCAATGGTAATGGCGACAACTGACAAGGATGACCCATCGACACCAACTATGATGAGAAATATTATAAATGGTGGCTCAATGAAAATCATCAACAAATAATAAACAAAATGGAATACATTTTCTGATTTTTGAATTTGTTATAAATTAGCTATGATTTTAGCTGTCAATTAGCTACAAATTTACGGGTTCAAGTTTAGTGTTGACCTCAACATCTTTGCCACGTTGATATTGCCATTTGTGCATCCAATCACCAAAAAATTTGCATGTGACGTATCATGTCAACTTCTGTTAATAGATGTTGATAGAAGAGATAAAAAATATAGAAAAAATATATTAGAAAAATAATTCTTTAAAACAAATTTTGTAGGAGACTAAAAATAAAAATCACTATGAGGAACAAAAACATATTTGAAATTGTAATTCAAAATTGCCTTTCAAAAATTTGTTTCCCAATAATAAAAATGTTATAATCATATATTTAAAAAAAAATGTTATAATCATATATTTTAAAAAAATGTTATAATCATATATTTTAAAAAAATGTTATTAGATGTTCGAACATCATTGAACATAACAGACGTTTAATTTGTAGCTCATAGTTGAGAATGAACTGCACCGTTTCGTCAGGCTACGTCGTCGTTTTGAAGTTTCGGAGTATAAGAGAACATGGCTTCAGTAGTTCCTCGGAATCAGTTTGGACAAATTATCCCATAGAGAACGCGTACGAGCTGTTAGAAGTATCTGAAACAAGCTCATTTGCTGAGATCAAATCGTCATTTCGCAAATTGGCTAAACAAACTCACCCGGACCTCGCTGAGTCAAGGAACGATTCCACTGCATCTCGACGATTTGTTCAAATCCTTGCCGCATATGAGGTTCGTGCCAATTCTTCTTGTTTAATTAGTTCTTAACGATAAAAGTATTGTGAAATTGAATCAATGAGTTCTAATTTCGAACAAGTTACTCTGGAAATTAATAACAATTGATGATTACCGTGCTAGAAGCAGTTTATTGGTGTTGAAGGGAATCCAATAGTTCGATCGGATGAAAACACCGACAGGAAATTGCTTATTGCTGTTTGAACATTTGTTGGATCTTAGACTCTGTCTGTAATGCCATTTTTGAATGCATAACTTTCTTTTCATGAACTTGCATATGCCGTTCTGGTGTTCACACTGCTTGCATTGATTGGTTGGAAAGGAAAATGTGTCTAGTTAGTAGTTGGAAAAACAGCTATATGTGAAAGTTTTTTCATTTTGGATATGTAGTGTTTTAGGTTTTGAATTGGACTTGTCCTTAATACACCCTCATGCAACTAGTAAATTTGGACTTGGTGTGCAGATAATATGATTGGTGAGATACTATAGGTTTTGAATTGAACATAGCAGATCATTGCAAAATGGACTTGTGAGGTGAGGGATGTTCATTCTTTATAAACTACAAATAATATAGGATTTGGTGTATGGATAATATGGTTGGTGTGAGATACCGTGGTTTTGAATTGGACATAACACGTCATTGCAAAATGGACTTGTAAGGGGAGGGATGCCCATTCTTTATAAACTATTTTCATCCCTGATATATTTACAATAATATTAGATTTGCTGCGTAGATAATATGGTGGGTGAGACCATTTTAGGTTTTGAATTGAGCCTAACTCATTCTTGCAAAACCAACTTTTAATGTGATAGGTGTCTCTTCTTTACAAACTCTTTGCAGGCCTTATCTGTTTTGATTCTTTTCAGTGTGGAACTTGGGCTTTTTCTAATATGGTACATGGTCTTGTACCTATTTAGTGGGTATGATATGTATTCTGAGGATTTATTGGCTATATTTATCCTATTAGCAAGATAACATACTTCACGACTTTAACTGCCGAAAACTTGCTGGCCACAGTTGTGGGTAACTAGAATGACATTTTTCTTTTCTTTTCAGGGAGTATTGAATTAATAGATTAATTCATGATATGTTGCAGATTCTTTCAGATTCTAGGAAGAGAGCCCATTATGACATGTACTTGTTATCTCAGAAAAAGCTTGTGCAGAAGCATTCTGAAATGGGTTCAAAGTTGCGCTGTTACCAATCACAGGCTTCGACATTCAAAGAGATGGAAGTTGTTGAATGGTTAAAGTGGTACAGATTAGCTATAAATGATATTTTGTTGGAGAAGAAAGCGGTGGTTGGAACAGGATATTTTGATGTACTTGAGAGAGATTTTTACTCTGCTATTCATGCAGCATATTATGGTCCCGAAATTGATTCTATCCCCATGGAGCTTCTTCCTGACTGTTTTGAGGCTGAGGAGAGGTCCTCTTATGAAACTCCCGAGGTTTTGCACTTGGTTTCAGGCCGTGATCTTTTTGGGATGGTTTGCCTAGTCAACATGATTCCAGAGATATCATCTACTGAAAATGAAAAGTTAACTTCTTGTAGATCCTTCCATTCAGACCTTTGTCAATCTATAATGGATATGAACACCCTAAGGAATGTAGAAAGGCCAGATGATTTTGGAACTCAACAAGATCGCAACTCTAAAATTTCAAGTAATGTATCAGATGCGTATAGAGATCTAGAATTGCACATCTCTGGAAAATTAGTTGCTACAGCATCTAGGGTCCTACCTAGATGTTGTTCTGGTGCAATGCAAAAGGAAGACTCTGAAGATCACATCCATGTGTACCTTAGTTCTGACGAAGATTCCAGACATATCAGCAATGGCTTTTCAAGAAATTTATTTGTAAATAGCAAAGTTGGAAGCAGAATGCATTTGGGAACCATATCTGGACTTGGCAGCAGTCCAGATGAGGGATGCTGTGATGTCTACAACAACAATCGTGAAAAGACTCATGTGATTATGAAACATCGGACATTGTTGGTATGCAAAGTTGCTATCCCACAGTCCCGTTGGTTTAATACTTGGAACCCTTTGTGAAAAAAATGCTTGGAACTTGAAATGGTTTTCACATTTGCACTAGTACCAACTCTTTTCTTTTTTATATTTAAAATTTTAAAAGAAAAATGGTATGGGTTTCAGGATCTTACAAGAAATTCAGTATAATGGATAACATAAAAAGCTAGATGCTTGTAACTATATTGTTACTTATGATAAAATTTTCAGGTGAAGCATATGCACTGGTATCACGTGGGTGAGAACGTTTCAGTTTGTGAGTGTAGATGCACCAGGGCACGTTTACCACCAAGCAAGTAAAGCTCACGCATCTTTCTATTACTGATGTTTAAGTTTGCACAGAAATCTCTTTGGTGTTCATTAGTGTGTATGCCATCAATCTTTCTGATATGAGAATAAGATGTTTGTTTTAACATCATAATCTTTCCTGGTAAAATAATTGTACATATATTGTGATGATCTCTTTCTTTGTTAGAACATGCTGTGGTCTCATTATGTATACCATTCCTCTATTCCAATGTTTCCTGCTCTGTCTTTTAAGTTTAAATTTTATTGGGCAACAAAGATTCTATTGAAGTTTGAAGCGATTTGGTCATTGGATTAATTTATTTGTCATGTTTAATTTTAATTATCTGTAAAAACTAAACGGTTTTATTATATCTTCTCGGGATGAAAGAACCATGGAATGAGGAAATAGCATTATAGATTTATTTCTCGGAACTCTGTTTCTTCATGCTCTAGTATTTTCTTTTTATAAGCCATATTCTAGTATTAATGACTGCAAAAGTAAACTTTGCCTACTTAATATTTATGCAGATCGCTGCTCTTTTAATATTACAGCTTGTAATCCTTTCTTAAACACTAACCTTTCGGCTATACAGATTTTGGCTATTTGAGCCTCGATGTGGCTTCCATGACATAGGGGGTTGGTATGTTGAAACATATGGCAAAGATAAGAAGGGTCGCACTATGCCATCACAAAGATTCTGGGATGGCTTGGATTATAGCGAGCAAGCTGAAAGGTAAGTACTTAAAAAGTTATATTTCTTGTCTTCTTCTTTAACTTTTAAAGAACTAGCTAATGAAACCAGTAAAAGTTTTTCTTTTAAAATGTAGGTTTAATTCAATTTTGACCCCCAAAACATTACGATTGTATGATTTTGGCCCCCATTGTTTTTTCCTGAGTGATTGTGGCTCTTCATGTTTTCTTTCGTTGTGGTTTGGTAGTCTCCGTCTCACTCGAATTTACACCGAGGAGACATCATTTATTGACATGACACCCAACTCATATTTCCAATATGACTTTTGTTTAAAATTAAACCTTAAAATGCAACAAAACTTGGAATCCTAATTAGAGATTTTATTCACTCATACATGTATGAGTGGTTTTTGGGGAATTTTGTTATTAACTTTAGAAAAAAGTTGCGGTGGCTATCAAAATTAGGTGGCATACCAATAAATAATGTTCCAGAAGTCTAGATTCTGGACGAAAAATAAAGGTGGACTACCAAATCACAAAGGGAGAAAACATAAGAGGTCAAAATCTCCTAAAAAATGTTGGGAGCCAAAATTGCACAATCACAATATTTGAGAGGCTAAAAGTGCAATTAAACTTATAATGCATGTCATTCACTAATTAAAGGAATAAGAGTTTAGTTTTCATGCGTGAAAAAAAGTTTTACACTATTACCTTATGACTTTTGATTTTTTTTCTTGGTTCGAAAGCACGCTTATTTTATTTTATATTTTAATATAAACAAGAATATACAGAAATAGTAGACAACCGGGCAATAAACTGCACCACTACCCCTTTTTGGATGACAAAATCAGTTCTCTTAAAAATTACATTCATTCTTGATTGATAGTTAAAAGCTCTATACATTGGTGATGTATATGAATAAAATTTTATAAATTATATTATGGACAATTAGGTGACCGTGTAACTTTCTAAGAAATGAAAATTTGCATTTAGTCAGTATTTTGTTTGATTTTCTTGAAAATGTTAGGCTTTTTACATGCATTTTGGTTTGGTGAAAATCCCCACAGCCGTATTTCATAACTTGATAAAATTATTTTATTGGTCCGTAGCTTTGTTTACTGAATTCTGAAGTTTATTTGACTAATTTATTCTTAGTCCGTAGGAGCCAAATTTCTCATCTTCCAACAACCATTTGTTTCATTGCAGTCATTTACTTTGTTTAATCATATAGACATTTACAAGTAATAGTAACTAATCAATATTTTTGATGTCCCAACGACCAGACCCATGTACTTGTCTATGGAGTTTACTGGAGTTTACTGACTCAGTTTTACAATCTGCAGAAGACTTCATCCAGCAATGTATCTGTTTGCTCTTGCATATCGAACACTTGATCTTGAATATGCCAAAACAAGCAAGAAAACATTTAGGAATGCTGTTGGAGCACATATGTTCCGAATTCTCCACTGGTGCAGAAAACTTGCTCAATAGGTAGTATATATATTAGCCTTATGCACTCTCAATAAACTCAACGAGTGATTGCTAGCCCAATTTGGACATATCAACAGATTACATTTTATCAATCTCTATTTTGTGACTGTAGAATATTTTCCTGTTCATTAGAGATCTCAATTAGGCTTATCTACATTGTTGGAGAAAATTCATCTTTTGATCTCCCGGTGCTGTGATCTGTTGGCCAAATACTGAACTTAATCGGTCAAGGACCAGCTGATGTGCCTTGCCTAAGCATAGTTGCACGATATTGTTGTAAAAAAATGCTTTCTGTAGCTACTTGCCTCAGAATTGTTATGCCAGAGACGACTGAATCTTTATGGATATACATCAATCGATTTCTATTTGTGTACCATATCTTTACAGAGTCCTAAATGTCCCCAAAATAAAATTCTTTACATTGGCAAGTATAATGAAACTAGTTGTTTCACTGGACACGGAATTTCCTCTGTTTACCAAAACGCTCTCAGAGCAGACAAATGTTCTGCATTTTTCTTGTTTATTATAACTCATGATATATTAAATATAATTTTGTCATGCTTGCAGAGACTCTAAACCCTAACTTGCACATGGAACTTGGATTGCATGTCTACTTGTTTGTAGAGTAGTCATTGATTGCATAGTAGTCAATCCCGGATAGCAACGCGGAGTGGCCGACCCAAAAATGGGATATAGGGATGGCGTATAGCGGGATGACCGCTATTTGATCTTTTTTTGGATAAATTACATGAATAATAATTATAAACGTATGATATGCAGAAGGAATAATGAAGTGCAGAGAGAGGTGAGGGGGAAACTTCTGATTCTTCTTTGGAATGGCCGAAGTGCAAAAGCGTACAGCAGGGAAGGAAGGTTAAGGTTGAGTCTCAACTGAAATTTGATTGAAAAGTTTAAACCCTTAAAATAATTTAAATTTTAGGGGTATTTTCGGTTTTCTAAAGGGGTATTTTCAGTTTTTTAGAGGGGGAAAAGATAGCGGGACAGAAACCGCTCCGGGCCGGGAACTGCTTCACCTCAACTACCCGCTATTTATCCTATAGCAGCCGCTATAGTGTTTTGCACTGCCAAGGCTCTTCCCATAGCGGCCGGCCTCCGCTTCGCTATTGACTACTCTGTTGTTTGTGTATCTGCCTATATATTGGAACCTTTATTTTCCTTCACGTCATGATTTTGTTACTGCTCCATGTGATCTTTAGTTATCTATTGTAGGCGTTGTTTGCTTTTACTTTGACTGCACTGAAAGGATTTCTTAACTAATAGAATAAAGCTTTGGCCATAGAGTTGCAAATTTTAACAAATGATAAACTGCTTTACTATATGAAATCATTTGTGTCTCCTTTTTGTCCTTTACTTGAGCAGATCCTCCCATTTGCAGTACTGGCCTCCTGCTAATGCTCGATAAAACCTATCTCTGCAGTAGACTGGTCTTCCATCAGCAGCCTCTGCAGCAGCAGCTGCAAGATTGTCATCGGCTTTCACATCTGCAGGCAATTTAAGCAACTCCTCCTTTCTACAACAGACATTAAACGTTTCAATGACATGGTGGAAGTAGTCTCGAAATATTGCAGGATCTTGTCTTTTCTTACCTTAAGTTAAACTTGTTAACCTTGGTAACTTGGGGGGTCGATTTGTTTTCTTCCGTGGTAAAGGTGGAATGAAGAAAGTTCTCCACTGGTGTAGCAAAGATAAATAGCATAACTCCGGTAACAAGTAACGCTCCAGTCCCCACTAGAGTTTGCTTCAGCAGTTTAACAACTGGTTTAACCTGGAGACATGGAATATATGTGAATCATGCAGGTAGAAACAAGTTTAGCATATTGCTCTTCTACCATGCAGCCTAAATTTTCAGCTTAATGATTTTATGCAATGCTGTACTCTGAGATGTCCAGTACCTTGTAAGAGCCCAACAATCTATCACGAGCTAGGATCTGCAAAGAAAACTAAGATCTCAGTTACAGTACCTGAAATTATCGAAATAAAGCATATAGCTACTTTTAGTAGTTTTAATTTGTTTCATTTCAGCTAGACCTTATTCTATATATCCTTCATATTCACTAATTTTGTATAAGCTGCTTGTTACTTAATGAAGAAACATTTCCTGCAATTTCAAAAGCCAAAGGTGTTAACCTATTGATTGTTAGTCATTGAGTGTCTAAGTAACTAGTTCCATCTTGCTAACAACATCCAAAACCAGCAATTTTTATATTTATTATCGATATTTGATTGTCAAATATTCTGCTGGAGCTAAAAGTTTGTCAGATTACACTATATGATGGCACACTAAATCTACACCTTGAATATGGTTTTCTGCAGGTGAAGTCTTCAGAGGGACTTTGTTCTGTGCAATTTTAGGTAAAAGAGGAATGTGTAAGAGAGAGTTGACTAACCTCAGGCGGCTTGACCCACATCTGTCCGTCATACCATCCACTTTCTTCATAAGGAATGACTGCAGACAAAAGTCTATCGCCAACATAACTCCACCCCTACATTGCAATTAAATCAGTGTCTAAACCACTTAGTTTGTAAAGTGTGAAGCTGTGTCATAGCACAACACTTAATTATATCGGGTACAGCAAAACACATTAGATACCACAATCTGGCGACAACATAAAAAGTATACGTGACTAGAGAAGGGAGTTCCCAGAGCAAGTCGATTTTGAAATCATGTACACCATGACAAATATGTTTTGAACTCTTTGCCTTGCTCACCCCATGTTCCCCAATCTTCAGTCATGAAATGATTGTCATATCATATGAACAGGTAAAACAGAATCAAACGCACCAGATAAATCCTTAAGATAATCAAAGACACAATGAAGAGTGTTCCTGTTCCAGCAGCTAGTATAAATCTCAGAGGCTCCTGCAAGGTATCATCAACACACGCAGAAGACAAATTTGTGAGCAACATTATAAAGTTTTGTTTGTGTTTTTTGTTGTTGTGTGCAGCCCACATGTGCTCTTGTTATGCATAAACTTTTCTCGTTGCTTACTACTAGATATCCCAATAGTCACGCACATATACTTTTAAGTTTTAACTTGGCACTTACGCTAGAAGGATTAAAGCTTGCAGCTGCAATTGGCGCTCCAAGCACTGTGAACACTGCCAACCATAGACCTCCAAGGCGAAGGAAAAATGACCCAGGACCCAGTTCGCCCCACGAATACAGGACTCCATCCTTCAGAGATGAGTACTCGTTTACCTATTAGACCATTAGTGTTTCCATGTTAGCAAGACATGATAAAAGAACATTTTTAGTGAAACTATCCTGATAACTAATAATTCATTCTTATTACTTTGCATAAACTGTTTCAATTTGTATGTATTTGCTGCCATATGAAATTCACTATAGCGAAGATTCAATATAAAACTAATTATTGCCAGTATAGCAGCATAGTTGTTTACACATACCGGTCTCTGTTCAAAAGGGACTGCAATTTCCAACCCAGGGTCCCAGCTACCTCCTGAAGATCCACTTGTTTCTCCATTCATCTCACCTTTTATTGCCTTAAGCTTGACCGAAACCCGTTGAGAAAATTTTGAAGCTCTGGGATTTTGGATGATGAAAGAACCATGGTTGCTGCCTGGTTTGGTCTGTCTTGCATTAGGAATGAGACAACAGTGGAAATTTAGTCTAATCATTTGCTTGAAAAATTGATCAGTAAGCGTATAACTAACAAAGCAATTTTGTATCCTGGTTCAATTCTTCACTTGGAAGTGGAGAAGGTGGAAGGAGTTGAAATTTCTGCACACTGAATCAAATCACAATTGTTTGTATGACTTCGTACCAGAACCACATATTTATTTACGTGAAGGAGGACAAGAAAATAATGTTTGTGCATTTTCTAGATTTTTATATTTTCATACAAGACTTATAGAGAGACCCTATGTGGACAAATCTTCTCGTCCACGTGGGCTTCTTATACACCGTTCATCTGATGCGGTTAATGTTCTTCTTGATAGGACTTAGACCAATTTTAATGGGAGTTCTTAGAGTGGGTTTGCCAACATGACACTCATATTTGTTGTTTTCAAGATTGACAAGTTCTTAATTATACAACGGTTCTTCAAGGGTTCTTATATTAAAATTTAATTTTAATTATTATTTTCAATTTTATGTTTAATTTTAATTTTATGTTTAATTTGTATTTATATTAATTAAAATTTAAATATTGAAATTATAATTTTAAATAAAATAAATTTAATATAAATAATATATTTTAAGTAAAGTGGTGGGACTCAATATGGGTTCTTTGGAGTTGCACCATTAGAGTGAAAATTGAAGGAGTTGCTTTAAAATAGTGGGTCCCACAAAGAACCTAAAAATAGGTTGCACCATTGGAGGTGCTCTTAGATTATCCGAACCTAATAACATATTTTGTGTACTTTATAATTTTGTGGTCTGAGACATGCGAGTGGACCTGTTGCTTGGGCAACGTGGATATTGTTTCTTTGCACGCAAATTTTATGAAGTTCTTGTTTGCCTACACGCAGTAGGAACGTGCATGATTTATTAGCTGAGCAACATAGTTTTATTGATGAACAAGCCATCATTATACGTAAGTTTGATTTTTTAAATTCATTAAACGGTTAATGTTTATACATAAATGAATAAATAAAAGTGAAATTTACTTATAATAGTAATCAGAAAGTGTACTATCTATTAAAAACTAAAAATTAAGAATGACCACTTCTTTATTTACTATATGCAAATTGAGTATGGTATATTTAATCCATCATTTAATAATATTTAATTTTACCATATTAAATTATTTATTATATCATATGTTTTTTATTATTTTTAAAACATTACTTTAAGAATAGTTATCTCTAAAAAATTCTTAAGAGTTCGTTTGGTTCAACAGAAATGAGGAGAGGGGAGGAGATGTATTTTAGTTAAATATATGTTTAGTTCAAAAGAGGAAGAGGGGAGAGAAGGAAGAAGTTTTAATCAAATATATGTTTGGTTCATAGGAGGAGAAGAGAAGTTTTAAAACTAATTTATCTTTTTACCCTTAAAATATTATAACACTCGTGCTAAATAAATCTTTTTAAAAAATAATATTCACAAAAAAAATTGTTAATTTATAAAAAATATAGATAATTAAATACAAAATATTTAATATTTAAAATACTCTAAAATATCTTTAAATGAAAATAAAATATTGATAAATGTCATAACATCATATTATATGATCAATGATCATATGAATTATTTTCTCATCTTGATGATTCATTTAATCCTATAAAACATTTATAAAATTAAATTCTACATAATATATAACTCATACTATAATTATATATTGATATGTAATACAATACAACAACTTATAAAACAATTAAGTTATTACAAATAAAATATTAAATAAAAATGAATAGAATAAAACACATGAAAAAAATTGAATCATAACGATAAAAATAATAAAGTTGTCTTAAAAAAATATCCGTTAAAAAATATGAAGGAATTATAATAAGGTGACAAAAATTAAGGTAAAATATTATTGAAGACAATTTAAAATTTTATTAAATAAAAGTAAGGGTAAATTTGTCAATATAATAAAAATAGACTTATCATAACTCCTCTTTCTTCTCTCTCCTCCGAAAATTTTCAATTTGGAGGAATAAAAAAGTATTTCAAGAGGAATTTTAATTACATCAAATCCCCTCCTCTCCCTTCATAAAAAATTGAAGCAAACACAACTATTTTAAAATGCTTCCTCCCAACCCCTCCAAAATTCCCCAACCAAACAGACTCTAAACAAAAACTAACTAACAGATAACTTTTACAAATAATTAATCATAATTTTTTATTAAAAATTAAAAAATAAAATTTTCTCTCTTATTTATTATCCCTATCACTTAATGATTCTAATTAAGAATTTTTTTTTTAAAATAGTCCTTAATTGTTTCTAAGAATAGTAATACATGTAGTATGTTTCTATCTAACTTTTTCACTTTTTTGAGTAAATAAAAGCTCACCAAAATTGAGATTTACAAGTAGATTTAAATGTGGTTTATTTGAGATTCAATACGTTATATTTAATTATTTCATGGACATTATTTTATCCATTTTATGGGTGAAGGTGAACACATTAAAAATTTGAATTTTTTTTTTAATATTTTGAAGATGCATCTTCGACCACACTTAAAATGAACACTGTTCTGGACTAGACTGGAAGGTGACCCACATTTGGGTAAGGTCCAATCCAGTCCAGCTTTAGACAAGGCCCAACAAGAAGATTAGCACAATTTAATCGTTGGATACAATATGACCGTTGGAAACAATATAGCCGTTGGGGAGAATATAGTTGTTCTGGTCTGGGCCGACGCTTAGCCCACAACCAAACAGGCTCAAACCCCAATGAGGTTAGGCCCAAGAGTACCACGTCGACGGGCAGAAGCTCCTCCGAGCACAACCTTCCCCCCGTCGGGCATAGGCCAACAGCTGTCGGGCAGGACCCTCACAGCCGACCCGCCAGCCTTTTCCTCCTCCGTCGTCGGGCAAAATCCAGCCTGCCCGGGGAGCTCTTTGAGCCTCCCCCCACGTTCTCCATGTGCCCCTCACGCAGGGACACGTCATAAAGTAACTATCCACGTCCTGAAGATTCGGTCTTCCTCCTCCCGGATAGCGCAGAACAGTTACCCTAGGGCGAAGACCACGTGCTGGTCCTCACGACGCCACGTTAGCCCTAACAGTTACTAACATTGGGCCTGGAAGCCCAGCCCAGTGCTAGGAAATTGTTGGCCCTGCGCTGGAGTCTCACTATAAATACCCTCTTCACTAGAGAGTCAGGTAACTTAATTCTCTTACTCACTCTATTTACTTACTTCCACTCTGCTCGTCACTTACTTTGGCATCAGAGTGTGTTTCAGGTACACCCCCTCCTTTTCCATACCTTTGGTGGACAACTAGCAGATCAACGACGCGTGGCAGATCATAGATCCCCTTCTGGTCAGGTACGGTCAATAGTTGTTAGAGAATTATAGTCGTTGGGGACCTCCCCCTCACGCGCTCCACAGTTCACGCGATCAACTGCCCCTTCGGAGTTCACGGGGACAGTTGGACCAAGTCGAAGATCACGCGCTAAAATCTTCCTTGCTCCTCGCAAACCTGACAGACTCTCATTGGTGGACAAGATATCTTGGCCCATAATTAGGACTTTGGCCCCGCGCTGGGGGTTTCTTATAAACACCCTCTCATTTGAGAGGGCCAGGTATCCAATTCATTCTAACACAAACCTAAACATTTTGTACTTGCTCTCTCTATCCTTCTGATTCTTACTTTAGCATCAGAGTTCATTGCAGGTACACCCCTTCCTCTCCTACAACCATTGTTGCTGCCCTACGTTGAAGGCCACGAGGATCCAGTATGATCATACCAGATCAGTGGAGCCATCTGTGGGAAACATTGTTCCCCCGTCTTTCTTGAACCAAGATCCCCAATCTTTTCAATCCAATGACCAAAGCTTTTCTTTCTAAACCTTCCTCGATCGTCATGGCCTCTCATCGTAACAATGATGTCCCTCAAAATCTTGTCATCGCTGTCGCCTTGGATAACGGAAGCAGAAGCCCTCATCGTAGTCATTTCCCATACAGATCGTCGAGCACCAGTGATGAAGACGATGTGCATGGGCCTCTATCCTAGGAAATCATTGACACTTGTATCCTCACGGGCTGGAGAAGCCTCCTTATTTGGCTCTCTATGATGGCACTATGGGTCCCAGCGACCATATAGAGAACATTGAAGCCATGCTTCATTATCACAACGTAGGTAGAGCAATCAAGTGCAGACTGTTCCCCATCACCCTTAGAGAGGGAGCTATGACCTGTTACAAAAATCTTCCCCAGGGCTCGATCACATCATGGAGGAACCTAAAAAATTAGTTTGCCTGACATTTCACTGCCTCCAAACGTCATCCCAAGTCGGAAGCCACGCTTTAAGGCATAATTCAGGGCAAGGAAGAGTCCCTTCGTTCCTACATCGAGAGGTTTAACAAGGAAGCAGTCGAGATCCACATGAAGAGGTACTTTCTCAAAAAGGGGCTAAGGCCAAATAGTGATTTCCGCAAAGTAGTAGGGATTGAAACACCTCATTCTCTGGCCTAAATCCTCCACAAGGCCCAAACTTACATCCAATATGAGGAAAAAGAAGCTGCTCACAAAGCCCGGAATTCGAAGAACCAAGAGAATTCCAAGGCGTTAAAAAAGGATGAGGTAGAAGTTCCCCAACGCGACAAAGAAAAACGACGAGATGATCGTCCTTGTGATCATAAAGGACCTGCTGGTCGCTTTAATGAGTATACCTTGCTGACAGCTCCCCGCGAGTGCATCCTTTCTAAGTGCATCAACACTGAGTTCAAACAAGGAGAAGTATGTGTTCCCTAGACAAACAGTGTCGAAGGGCAACACCGACCGTAGCAAGTACTGTCAATTTCACCGTAATCACGGGCACGTTACTGAAGATTGTGTCCACTTGTAGGACACAATCGAGATCCTCATCAAGGAGGGTCATCTAAAGCAATACATCAAAAGAGACGAAGCTCCTCGAAGGGGTGCATCTGCCCACGATTGATCCATCTGCTCGAGCAGTGGCGCAGCGCAGACGCAAACAATCCGACGAGAATTTTGAAGCCCTCGCCAAG